TGCAAGGTTACTTGGATAAACTAGGATTGCTATTCGGGTCTGAGGTTAAGGAAATTGATGTTAAGCTTAAGCCGGAAAATTCATATGGATCTCCCCCTTGGAGTTGTATTTGGTGGATTCCAGAGAGCTTCTACACTTTGAAAAATCTTAAAGTTGCAAAGCTCAATGGTGTTGTGATGGGTGCAAAAGGGTCGGTTTCTCTTCCTAGTTTGAAAAGCTTTGAGCTTTTGAATGTGGTAATTAAGGACTTTGAGTCCTTTAGTAGGCTCATTTCTGGTTGCCCTATTGTGGAGACTCTTTCTTTGGAGTTGTGTGACATAGCAGACATGGACGAGGACGACGTACTCATTGCTTCCATGCCATTCTTGAAAGATTTAAGGATCATTGGTGTTCTTGATGGCGATGGTTATGAGTGTTTGTGTCGCATTGTGATGGAAGCACCAAAGCTTATGTATCTTTACCTTGAGGATTTCACAGAGTTACAATTTCGAGGAAGTAGTACTCCATTGTTGCCATGTCTTTATGCAACTCAAATTGACACTAGTGAGACTGGAGGATCGTATGATAGCCTGATTAGGTTACTAACCCAGATCTCCAATATGAAGGAAATGTGCTTGTACTACAGAACTCTTGTAATGAACATTTTCCCTTGAATCCTGAAAGTACACTATGTTTGTTCATTTCTCTTTGGTTTAAGGAACTGATTTTGTTAATTCTTGTTTTCAGGAATTTCTAGCAGGAGGCGATGATGTTCGGCGACTTGTCTTCCCCAATTTGTCACAATTGACAATCCAACCTACTGAAAGTTGCAGCAGCTGGATTTTGCACTCCTTACTCCACTCATCCCCCAAATTACAATCTCTTGACATTCAAATGGTGAGTTCCATATCTATCTCTTGAATGAAAACTTTCTTACTTCATTCCTCATAGCAAATATGAACATGATTATCTTGTCATGGGCGATGGACAGGGGTTCTCTAATGGGCCAATGATGTGGGAGGAGATAGAGCCTACTCGTACGCTACAGTGTTTGCAGTCGAGCCTCGAGGAAATCGAAATCAATGGTTTTGTACCATTTGAAAATGATGTGGAGATGGTAGGGAATTTGATCAATGCAGGAGTTGTACTGAAGAATGTAGATATAATCGTATTCCGTAATCCTACCAAAGAGCAACGTAAGGGTCTTCGATCACTACTAAAACTCTCTAGAGAATCGAGCGCATGTGAAGTTTGCATTGTACTTGCTGGAGGCAAGAAATATGTTAAGTTTGACGATGACAAGACTTACACCGACGACGAAGAAGAAGTCGACCAGAACAATGAAGAAAAAGTTGAGTATGATGATGAGGACAATGAAGACTAAAGACTTGTTCTCATTATGAAGGTAACAAGGTCTGTGATGTTTTACCTCTCAAGATAATGAAATGTTGGAAACCAAGCAAGGTTGATGTTGTTGCTAGTTATGAATATGGGATGTCTAATTCTCATGGAAAGAGTTCATCACTCTAGTTATGTTGTCTTACCTTAGAATTTCCTAAGTATGTTTCTTTGTTGCATTTTTTGTACTTTCTTTTCGCTAGAGGCTTGGAATTATGTTTCAAGTTTATTTGCGGTGATTATACTAGAACATCAAGCACCCAGGAAAAAAATGATTGTAAAGTAGGGTAGCGAAACCGCAAGATAATAATACAAACTGTCTTTGAAAGTTTCTCCAGGATGAGCGACACCAACTTTTTGTTTATCATTCAATTTATGCTCGATATTTGGGAGCGACACACCTTTTTCTTGTGAGTTCGCATCGACATGGAGAAATTTCTTAGTGCCAAATGATCTCATTCTCTTGAATCATCTCCTAGTCTTGCTCATTTAGTGTCATGTCTCTAGTAGTTTATGAACTTGATTCAATATTTGTTGCTCGTGGAGCCTCTACCAGACTACCAGTCATGTCAACTTGATTCCTACATTCTCCTCTTAAACCCTTGTAAAATATGTCCACTTGGAGCCAATCTTGTAATGTGTCAAACCATTCAAAAGTCTCTAATAATGGTTCTCCCTTATTTTGGATGAAATTTAAGATCCGTCCCAATAGTTGGGCCGTCATGGAAGGTGGGAAATACCGATTACAAAACTTCTCACATAGGTTCTTTCAAGGTACAATTGAATGTTGTTGTTGGTTTTCTAATCATCTCCTTGCTATCCCAACAAAGGAAAAGGGGACAACCTTAGGAGAATAGCCTCTTGAGGGATTCCTTCCATAGAGATGGAACGCAAAAAAGTCTTCAATGTAGATTCGCATCCTTAAGCCCTCAAAATTGGATGGTGGTTTGTATTATTGTGATATCACTCAAATTGATCTCAAAACTTTGATTCCAAACTTTTGAGAGCAATATTAGAGAACCTATGTGTTCCTTAAGTTCTTACATATAGTTTGCTCCTTTGGATCCTCATCATTTCGAGCATCTTGTTCCACCACGCTATTCTTCTCGACTTGCAGGTTTTCCTTAGTTCCTTACATATGAAATATTCACAAGGATCCCAACAACCCGTTAAGCATACAATAGTAAAACAAAAACTCAAAGATAATAAAACTTAAAACTCAAAAATAAATGACTCAACTAACAAATAATCAAATTTCACAATATTTCCACACAAAGTCCTCGACAACATCGCAAAAAACTTGATGAAGTGTTAAAAGAGACTTGGTTGGTACCTTCTACTTGCAACCCCAAACTAGGACAAGTATACCCTAAATTTGCATTGCAGTATAGCAGTGACCCCTTACCAAAGTCGTATTCCACGGGAATGGAGAAACTATCGCTACTTACATGATTAAATCATTACCTAGTCTAAAAATTGATGACGTTACCAACTAACAACCTTCAATTGCTATTAAAACTTAATGTCAAAATGAAAGAGATAGAGTACTTGGGGATGTTCCCCCCTAATTTAGCTTATGAGAATGTGACAATAACGAATTCATTTGTTTCATTTCTAGTGTCTAAGGTGCAAGAATATCTAATAAGGCAATGTAAATGGTCATGCACCCAATTTGCCTCCTAGCTATGGTGACGAACTCAATGGTCATTGTAATTGACCATCATAGCTAGGGATAATCATAATTTTGTAACTAGGAGCCAACAATCACACAACTAAGTAACTCAATGTCATCTAGATTACCTAGTTGTTCTACTTGATTTATGTCTAAGTTTGATCCAATTGAATTATCACCTTCATGGGTTAGCACCAAATCATCATTCACACACAATTAGAACATGAACAAACATTAAAATCAATCATGTAGACGTAATATTATAGAAATTCCACAGACAAATCCATTACAATCCATAATTTTAACGTCTAGGTCATAGGTCTTACCCCTAGCACCTAAGGTTAATAGTTTCTCATTTACAACCGTGATCTTTCTTGCAACCGTGATCTTCAAGTCGCGGTCGCCCTTTGTCACATGCACACACTTTCTTGGGAGGGTTCACGACCTGATCTCTAAGAACATCGCCATAAAATTCTTCACTTGCCCGTGAACTCATATCACAACTTGGGAATCTCAACAGTGAACTTTGCCTTAAGCTCTTCCCTACACTTGTTGTCCAATATTTTGCCCTGAAACACCTAAAGTTAGCATTGTTCGTCTATAGTCTGTCTACAGTAAATACAAAACAATTCTAGACTATAATGCAACATTTTAGGGACTAAATAAACCGAAAAGGTCATAAAAACACCTAGAATTGGGAGGACGAAAACACCGGTTTAAGGTGTTATAAATGGCCTTGGTAGTCACAAACACAATCATTATGTGGTGGGCACTTAGGGGTCATTTGCATGAGTCATTTGCACAAAAGTTTTTAGATGATATATTGTTTTTAGATTATATATAAGCTACTACGACAATGTTACCATTTTGGCATTTCCTTTAATATGTTTTATTATCTTGTTTTATATGCGAGTAAAACCAATCATGAAAATAAACATATTATTTGGGTATAAGTAATATATAATGCTAATTTCTAATATTGAATAATATTTTATGTTAGCTTTATGTACGAATTACAAAGACTCCAAAGTAAAATTATTTTGAACCACACATAACCTATAATTGAAATCGGTCTTCAAAATACTAAAGACTATTTATTGGATGATTGGAAGCTTTATTGAAAAATAATTGTAAAATATTATTGGAATTGATTGGAAAATATTGGTTTATCAAAACAAAATAGAGAAATGTTAGTATTGATTAATGAAAAATGACAGAGCTATATAATTGAAAAATAATGGAGTAGAAACGAGTCATTCACAGATAATTGGTGGGAATGACTCACTGGCGGTTATTTAGTATTTACATAGAGTCTGCTTTCCAAGGTTGTCAACCCGCGGGTCGACCCACGGGTCGACCCAATTTGACTCTGACCCGATGAGAAAAACGGGCCGCACGCACCCGCTGGGCCGACCGCTATAAGGTACCGGGTTGGAGGTCAAATTGTGTTATTTTTTTCTTTAGTTTGCGAAATGCGCCTATTTCAAAACTTTCTTTTCGACTAACTCAATCTTTGGAATACTAAGTTGAACATTTGAATATTTATGTTATATAAGTGTGTGTGAATATTCACTATATGTTGGATCTAAGTACGATATGTTATTTTGGTGTAATATTATATGTTATAACTCATATGTTAGATAAGATTTGATATAATTTATGAGAATAAGTACAATATAATGACTCTTCCTATATTTCCGGGCCAAACCGGGCTAAAACAGTTGACCCATCAACCCTTGACCCACTAGCTCGACCGGGTTCGGGTCAACCCGCGGGTTGACAACATTGCTGCTTTCTCTTCCACTTTCCTTTCTCCGTTCCCGTGAAATCCAATTCCCAATTCCTGAAGTGAACCCTAGGCGTCACCGTGCAAAAGAAAATCCTTCACCAAGCTCCCGGCGGTACAGGTTTCTCGATCAGAAGGCACCCAGCAGGCCTGCACGTTCTGTGGATGGAGAAGAACACTGGTAAACTTGCGAGAAATGCTGAATGGAAGGTACGGGCGCCGGGAATCGACGACAGGCTGAACTCCTTACCGGACGAGATCATTTCCCACATCCTCTCATTCCTTGAGACCAAGTTCGCCGTCGGAACCGCCGTTCTGAGTCGCCGGTGGAAGGATCTCTGGACTATGGTATCGAATCTCGATTTCAACAACCGCCTGACTTACAAGGATCTGATCGGCTCCGGCGACGCTGATGACTCTCTGCCAGAAGAGACGGAAGAGAGAAAGGCAGTGAGATTCTTCGGCTTCGTCGAGAGGGTTCTGAGGCAGCACAGCAATCTGGATTCTCTAGGCCGTTTCCGCTTCCATTTTTCAGCATCAGAAGGTAACTGCAAGGTGATGCAAGGTTGCTTGGATAAGATGGAATTGGTGTTTGGCTCTCAGATTGAGGCAATTGAGTGGTGGGTTTGGGACGCAACGCGATTTAGGAATCTCCCATCTATATGGCGGCTTCCAGAGAGCTTCTACACTTTGAAGAATCTTAAAGATGTGAATCTCCACCATGTTATAATGGGTGCGGACGGGCCAGTTTCTCTTCCTAGTCTGAAAAACTTGAACCTTTGGAAAGCCAAATTTACAGACTTTGACTCATTAAGCAGGCTCACTTCCGGTTGCCCTGTTCTAGAGACACTTTGTCTGGAGTATTGCGCCGTAGTAGATGCGAATGAGAACGATTTTCTCATTGCTTCCATGCCATCCTTGAGAAACTTGAGGATCGTTGGTTTAGGCAATGATGGTTATGAGGACTTGTGCCCCATTGCGATGGAAGCACCAATGCTTACGGATCTTTATCTCGAGGATTTCAGCGAGTTACAGTTCCTGGGCAGTAGTGGTCCATTGCCATGCCTTTGTTCAGCTCGAGTTGACACTAATGAGGGAGGAGGCTCGTACGATAGCCTGATAAGGTTACTCACCCAAATCTCCAATGTGAAGGAAATGTGCTTAGACCGGAAAACACTTGTAATGATCAGTTTCCCAAAGTACACTATTCTCTTTTTCGTTTCTGCAGGGAGCTGATTTTTGTGAATCCTTGTTTCCAGGAATTTCTGTCAGCTGGTAATGATGTTCAGCGGCTTGTTTTCCCAAATTTGACGCATTTGACTATCCAACCAACTGAATGGTGCAGCAGCCGGGTTCTGCACTCACTACTCCACTCAGCCTCCAAATTACAATCTCTTGTCATTAACGTGGTGAGTTCCATATCTATCTCTTCAATGATGACTATCATTCTTAATTACTCACAGCAAATATGAACATGAGTTTACTTGCTATGGGAGATGGACAGTGGTTCGCTTATGGACCAATGAGGTGGGAGGAGACAGAACCTACTGGTACTCAACAGTGTTTGCAGTCGAGCCTCGAGGAAATTGAAATCAATGCTTTTGACCCACTTGAAGGTGATGTGAAGATGGTAGGATATTTGCTGAATGCTGGAGCTGTACTGAAGAAGTTACATGTCAACTTATTCTCGGATCCTACCAAAGAGGAATGCAAGGAACTTCGGTCACTGCTAAAACTCCCTAGAGAATCGAGCACTTGTAAAGTTCGCATTACACTTGTTGGCGAAGAGAACGACATTAAGCTCGACGATGATGGGATCAATCTAAGATGAAGCCGAGGACTAGGACACATAAAGACTAAGACGGTTCTCGACAATATGAAATGTCGGATAAATACGCCAATGGTTCCCATTGATAACGCTCAAGCAAGGTCAATGATGTTGCCAAGTAAGAATATGGGATGTCTAATACCCATGGCGAGGATAATAACTCTAGTTCTGTCATGTCTTGCTTTAGAATTTCCTAAGTTCGTTTTTGTACTTTCTTTTAGCTAACAGCCTGTTTGGATACAATTCCATAAGAAATGGAAATGGATTTCCATTCCCAATTCTAACTTTTATGGAATTCCATTTCCAATATTTGTGTTTGGCATAATTCTAACAACTATGGAAATGAATTGTATTCTTTAACAATCATTAATGATTTAGTAGATTTTTTTATCTTGGGAAATGAAATATGGATGAGAGAGAAAGAGAGAAATAAGATAGTGGAATTATAAAATAATAATAAATATGAATGGGTCCCACTAATTCCATCTCCATAAACCCAATTCCAATCACTTTTGATAGGAATTCTAATTTCCAATATTTTAGTCAAATGGAATTCATTTCCCAACCTTCTTACCATTCCAAACATGAAATAATGAAATAGAATTGGAAATGGAATTCCAATTCCTGAGTTTTTTGTCCATCCAAACAGGCTGTAAGGGATTGTATACTTGCAAGTTTTACTGCATTTGGAACTCTCTCCAGGATGAGCGGTACCAAAATCGTTTGTTTATCATTCGATTTATGCCTGTTGAGTGTTGACTATTACGGTAGAGAATTTTGTTCGGTACATCTAGAGTGTGAAAAATATGGCAATACTGACCGCCTACTGCCCCTCGAGGCGAGAATTCTGTTCAGCAGATTCGTTTCCGCCGGTTTGTGAAACGTACAACGCAAGACGGTCAACCATGAGCACCCTAAGATCCGTGAGCTAATTTCTCCATAAGTGCGCAAGCAACTTCTCTAAAGTAATCTCACTCTTGTTTATGTGCATTCATTCTCGCACCAGGAGGCGGGCCAATGGTATTGTTCTTATTAACAACCACGAACAGATTTACAACGGACAGGCAGGCTCTCCCTTTTGTTTCTCGACCGCAGATTGAAGCAGAAGCAAGAGCAATGTTGGAAGGTCTCAAACTGGCTTGCGAGTACAATATCCGGTGAGTGGTTCGATAAGATTGCGAGATGGTCGTGAAAGCTCTCTCGTCCAGCACATCTGAGTGGCCTTGGAGCCTGGAGGCGATTAGCAAACAAGATCCTTCCACTTACGTTCGAGGTCTGCAACCAAACGAGAAGAAGACAGTGCAGTGCAGCAAGGATGCCAAGATTGGCGGTAGTACGAAATTTGAACTTGCTAAAGGCCAGTTGTCAGTTTTCGTTTTTTAGAATGGTTCCCCTTCCCCGGGCTAGGCCCTAAACCCAACGTGGTCAGTGGGGGAGAGAGAAAGGCCCATAAGCCCAGTATACAAAGAAAGAAAAATAGATAGCATTAATTAGAGAGCTCAACTTCAGACTTCAGTTGTTGTCGTTGCCGTAGCTCAGCTTTCCTCTCCAATTCTCCATATGGATGGATTAGAGACGCCGCCGGAGAATACAATCGCCGGGGCAGATCAATTGAAGTTACCGGGGTCGGCGATCGACGACAGGCTGAGCTCCCTACCAGACGAAATCCTTTCCCACATCCTCTCTTTCCTGCCAACCGGGAACCGCCGTTCTGAGCCGGCGGTGGACTGATCTCTGGACTAGGGTTTCCAATCTCGATTTCGACAACAAGCTGGCTTACAAGCAGCTCGACATCTGCTGGATAAGAGATTCACCAACGCAGCTAGCGAATCGAGTGAGTAGAGATTTTGAATTCTCTCGCTTCGTAGATAGGGTTCTTAGCCAGCACAGGAATCTCAATGCTGTGAGGCGTTTTCGCTTACATTTCGAAGTATTCAGGCGTAATTGGAGGCTGAGGCCAAATTTTGTGCGGACGAGGGAATCTGTGTTTGGGTCTCTGGTTGAGGAAATCGATGTCAGCCTTGTGGGGGCAATGGAATTCGGAAGTCCCGCGCGTATTTGGTGGCTTCCAGAGAGCTTCTACACTTTGAAGAATCTTAAAGCTGTGAAGCTCGACCATGTTATGATGGGTGCGGACGGGCCAGTTTCACTTCCTAGTCTGAAGATCTTACAGCTTCGACAAGTAGTGATCGAGGACTTCGAGATGTTGAGCAAGCTCATTTCTGGCTGCCCTGCTCTAGAGTCTCTTGATCTGCATGATTGCTTGATAGAATACGGCAACGAGAATGACATACTCGCTGCTTCCTTGCCATCCTTGAGAAACTTCAAGATTTACGTTGATATCGGTGGTGAATTGTGTGATATTGAAATCGAGGCGCCAAATCTTGAGCACGTTGTTCTGCTATGCTTTGCGGACGTAAAGTTTCTAGGCAGTAGTCCATTGTCATGCCTTCATTCAGCTCGGGTTGATACTGGTGAGAGCAGAACCATCTCAACCCATTGCCTGATGGGGTTACTCACCCAAATTTCCAATGCAAAGGAAATGTCATTAGATTGGCCGACTCTTGTAATCAACATTTCCCCTTCCTCTCTAAAGTACACTTTTTTCATTACTCATCGATGTAGTGCTGATTTGTTAACCCTTGTTTTCAGGAATCTCTGTTGGGTTTGGATGATGTTCAGTTGCCTGTTTTCCCCCATTTAACACATTTGACCATCCAACCTGTTGGAACCAGCTGCATTCTGCATTCCTTACTTCACTCAGCCTCCAAATTACAAGCTCTCGTCATCGACTTGGTGAGTTCCACGTTTATCTGTTTATTGGAAACTTCTTTCACTAATGTTCAGAGTGAGTACGAACACTAAGAACTTGTTTCTGGAGATAATTAGGAGATGGCTGATTACCCAATGGTGTGGGAGCAGTTAGAACCCCCTTCCGCCCCTAAGTGTTTGCTGTCCAGCCTAGAGGAAATTGAGATAAAAGGTCTTTCAGCAGATAAATATGGTATAAAAATGGTAGCATATTTGCTCAAGGCTGGAGCTGTCCTCAAGAAGGTGAATATACGTGCTCACGCTCGTATTGACAGAGAAAAAAACAGAGAGCTTGCTTCACTGCTAAGAAGACTGCCAAAAGGCTCGAGTGCTTGTGATGTTCGCCTTTTGCATTGTAGCAAAGATATGAGCATTAGTGTCGATGATGACGACCACGAGGAATTTGAGAATGAGTTCGACAGAGATAGCTAAGTGGAAATCGATGACAAAGACGGTTCTTACTGTGAATCCAAGGCCAATGATGTTTCGGCTTAAGAATATAGGATGTCTTGTGTAGTTATGTGGTCTCGCCTTCAAAATCCCAATTACCGCTTCTTTGTTCTGTATCTGCATTATCTACTTGCTTTCACTTTAGTTAATCTTCGCTTTATCCATCCTTCCTCACAAATCGAAGTTAAACGATCTAAGTCCATGTTAATACTTTGCTGGCTTCTCTAGTTAAGTGGTCCTCGTTGCATTTGCTTATCAGAATGTGTAAAATTCATGTAAACTAGATTTCTTGGTATTTGATAGTAGTAGTTTCTGGATTTTTCATTATCTACTTTCCAAGGTTAAATTTATTGAAGCAAGTAGGGCACACCAACTGTATAACAGTGCTATACAGCTTTGAAACTTCTCCATGACGAGCATAAAAAATTTGTGTAATGTACTAATGTTTGTAGCAGTACATCAACAACATTGTGCACAAGGAAATAGAAAGTAGTTTAAAGACATTTTTGCCTCAATCTAATAGCAGTAAACCCGCAACAAAGTTTTGACGAAACTATTCTCCCGCTTCATTGAAAGGGTTCTTGGCCTGCACAGGAACTTCAATTGCTTATTTCCTTATGGCTTTTCCGCTTGCATGTTTTAGTATCGATGCCTAACTGGAAGGTGATGCAAGATTACTTCGAAAAGAGGGAATTGGTTTTTGGGTCTCAGATTGAGGAAATTGATATGATGCTTCTTGAGGCAACACAGTTTGGATTTGCCCCAGCTTCCAGAGAGCTTCACTTTGAAGAATCTTGAAGTTGTGAAGCTCCACAAGGTAATGACACTGAACGGGTCAGTTTTTCTTCCTAATTTGAAATTCTGTGAGCTTTGGAAATTCGAATCTGAGGACTTCAAGTCTTTCAGCATGCTCATTTTTATTTGCCCTGTTTTAGAAACTCTTTCTCTGGAGTATTGCATCATATCAGACCTGAACTAGAAAGACACTCATTGCTTCCATGCCATCATCGAGAATCATCGGTTTCTCGATGATTATGGTGATAAGTATTCGTGTTAACATTGTAATGGAAGTTCCAATGCTTGAGCATCTTTATCGTGAGGATTTCACAGAGTTACAATTTCAGGGCAGTAGTAGTCCATTGCCATGCCTTCATTCGGGTTGACACTTGACACTAGTGTCAAAGGAAGCTTGTTCATTCGATGCTTGGTTTGGTTACTCACCCAGATCTCCAAGGCAAAAGAAATGTGATTATATAGTAGGAATGGCAATGGGACAGCTCCGGTCCGGGTATCTCGATACCCATACTCACTCTGTGGCAAGTCGGGTCCAGGTCGGGTAATTTATCATGGGGCGCGGGTCGGGGTAGGTTGACCTAGGGCTGGCTATTTGGACCGGGACCGGATGAAAAACCGGAAACCGGACTGTATAACCCGGACCGAGACCGGACCGGGACCGGATAGTAAACAATCCAATCCAATCTTTGGGCTTAGATTTGAGGTAAAAAAACCGGATAAAGACCGGATAAGAGAGCTCAACACCCAAAACTTAAGGGTAATTTGCATAAACGGTCACAAACCATTGCACTTAGTACAAAACTTAACCAACTCCTCACCCTTTTAGGCCTTATGCCACTCAAATTCCCACAATCTCAATATAAAATCAAGACCGAATTGGGACCGGACCGGGTTAAGACCGGACCGGATCAAGACCGGACTGTATCCAATCCAATCTTCGGTCCTTATATTTTCAAAAAAACCGAACTGGACCGGATCAATTTGGGCCAATTTAACCGGACCGGACCGTATAGCCACCCCTAGGTTGACCCAATGAGTATGTAATTTATGTGAAAAACTTTCAAAATATTAATTATTTTCATTAAAAGACCAAGAAATAAACCATAATATCATAAAATGTAGTTAAAATATTGGAGATATTGAAGTTTTCACTTATTTACAACTTTATTATAGCTCAAATATGAGGTAATATGAAGAAAATTCTAAGTAATTTGGCTAAGATTATATGTAATTTAGGCAAGAACGGGTCGAGAATGAGGCGGGTCAGGGCAGGTCGGATCGACGAGAGGTACCCATGCCCGCCCCAAGTCAGGTCGCAATCCAAGTTTTAATGTAAAGAAAGTAAATCCAATGACATTTTCGTTATCAATAACTTTTTTTTTACCGGATTCTTTATCAAGAACTTTGGTTTGAACGCCCACCTATTTTTCTAATACTGCAACCACAACTGAATTGTAACGCTTCTATAATTTATTAATAAAAAGTCTCTATAATTCATTAATAAATGCAATCCAAGTTTTACTATAAAGAAGGTAAACCCATTGACATTTCTTTTCTCAAGAACTTTGGTTTGAACGTACACTCATTTTTCTTATACTGCAACCACAACTGGATTGTAATGCCTCTATAATTCATTAATAAAAACAATCCAACTTTTATTGTACAGAAGGTAAATCCAGTGACATTTCCTTTCTTAAGAACTTTGGTTTGAATGCCTATTATTTCTCGTATAGTACCACGATTGGATAGTAACGCTTCTAAAATTCATTAAGCAATCTAAGTTTTATTGTAATGGAGGTAAACCAATTGTCATTTTCTTTCTCAAAAACTTTGGTTTGGACGTCCACTCATTTCTCTAATAGGGCAACTACAATTAGATTGTAACGCCTCTATAATTCATTTAATAAAATCAATCCAAGTTTTACTATAAAGAAGGTAAACCCAATGACATTTTCTTCTCAAAAACTTTGGTTTGAACGCCTACACATGTCTCTTATAGCGCAATCACTATTGGACTGTAACGCTTTTATAATTCATTAATAAAAGCAATCCAAAATTTACTATAAAGGAGGTAAACCAATGGCATTTCATTTCTCAAAAACTTTGGTTTGAACGCCCACTTATTATTTTATTTGACAACAGCAATTGAATCGTCCACTCATTTCTCTAATAGGGCAACTACAATTAGATTGTAACGCCTCTATAATTCATTTAATAAAATCAATCCAAGTTTTACTGTAAAGAAGGTAAACCCAATGACGTTTCCTTTCTCAAAAATTTTGGTTTGAACGTCCACTCATTTCTCTAATAGGGAAACTACAATTAGATTGTAACGCCTCTATAATTCATTTAATAAAATCAATCCAAGTTTTACTGTAAAGAAGGTAAACCCAATGACGTTTACTTTCTCAAAAACTTTGGTTTGAACGCACACACATGTCTCTTATAGCGCAATCACTATTGGATTGTAACGCTTTTATAATTCATTAATAAAAGTAATCCAAAATTTACTACAAAGGAGGTAAACCAATTGCATTTCCTTTCTCAAAAACTTTGGTTTGAACGCCCACTTATTATTTTATTTGACAACAGCGACTCGATTATAACGTCCATGTAATCCATTAATAAAAGCAATCCACGTTTTACTATAAAGAAGGTAAACCCATTGACATTTCTTTTCTCAAGAACTTTGGTTTGAACGTACACTCATTTTTCTTATACTGCAACCACAACTGGATTGTAATGCCTCTATAATTCATTAATAAAAAGAATCCAACTTTTATTGTACGGAAGGTAAATCCAATGACATTTCCTTTCTTAAGAACTTTGGTTTGAATGCCTATCATTTCTCTTATAGTACCACGACTGGATAGTAACGCCTCTAAAATTCATTAATAAAAGCAATCTAAGTTTTATTGTAATGAAGGTAAACCAATTGTCATTTCCTTCCTCAAAAACTTTGGTTTGAACGTCCACTCATTTCTCTAATAGGGCAACTACAATTAGATTGTAACGCCTCTATAATTCATTTAATAAAATCAATCCAAGTTTTGACTGTAAAGAAGGTAAACCCAATGACGTTTCCTTTCTCAAAAACTTTGGTTTGAACGCCCACACATGTTTCTTATAGCGCAATCACTATTGGATTGTAACGCTTTTATAATTCATTAATAAAAGCAATCCAAAATTTACTATAAAGGAGGTAAACCAATGGCATATCCTTTCTCAAAAACTTTGGTTTGAACGCCCACTTATTATTTTATTTGACAACAACGCGACTCGATTATAACGTCCATGTAATCCATTAATAAAAGCAATCCAAGTTGTATTGCGAAAAAGGTAAACCCAACAACAAATCCCTTTTCTTCTTTTTTTTCTTCCTTTTTCCATACGACCACCTCCCAGTGATATCAAATTCTCAATCTTGCAGTACAGGTTCTCAATCAGAAGGCACATCACACCTTCTGTTGATGGATGAGAACACTGGTAAAATAGCGAGAAATGTTGAATGGAAGGTATCGGAGCTAGGAATCGGCGACAAGCTAAGCTCCTTACCGGACGAGATCCTCTCCCACATCCTCTCTTTCTTGCCAACCAAGTACGCCAAGGGAACCACCATCCTAAGCCGACGTTGGAAGGATCTGTGGACTACGGTTTCCAATCTCGATTTCAACAACCGCCTGGTTTACATGGAGGAGATCAGTTCCCCCTATGTCGGTGACTTTATTATGAAAGATATGGAGAGGAGGGAGTTGGAATTCTCACACTTCGTCGACACAGTTTTGAGCCAACACAAGAATCTCGATTCTGTACGGCGTTTCCGCTTGCGTGTTCTAGTATCGGAGCATAACTGGAAGGTGATGCAAGATTACTTGGTTAAACGGGGATTTGTATTTGGATCTGAGGTTAAGGAAATTGATGTTAAGCTTAAGCGTGAAAGGTCGTACGGATCTCCCCCTTGGAGCTGTATTTGGTGGCTTCCAGAGAGCTTCTACACTTTGAAGAATCTTGAAGTTGTGAAGCTCAATGGTGTTATGATGGGTGCAAATGGGTCAGTTTATCTTCCTAGTTTGAAAAGCTTTGAGCTTTTGAATGTCGTAATTAAGGACTTTGAGTCCTTTGGCATACTCATTTCTGGTTGCCCTGTTGTGGAGACTCTTTCTCTGGAGTTTTGTGACATAGCAGACATGGACGAGGACGACGTACTCATTGCTTCCTTGCCATCCTTAAAAAACTTGAGGATCATTGGTGTTCTCGATAGAAATGGTTATCAGTGCTTGTGTCCCATTGTGATGGAAGCGCCAAAGCTTAAGCATCTTTATCTCGA